ATTAATCCATCCATCCATCGTGTCTTCAGTATGTCAGTACTCCATGCAGATCTCTGTAGACCAGTAAATTCCTCCTAAACGATAGCTATATCCACAATGTCCCTCTTGGATCCAGGGCAGTGATGCAGCATCCAACTCAGATGGTACCCAGCCCAGGCGCCATCTGGACATGTGGGGAGGAGAATAGGATAGTCTGGTCAGAACAGATGTATCTGCCTGTCAGGCCAAAATGGTTGTAACTGGCGCCTGCCTTGGCGTCAGCGTCCGGGGCAGAGACAGGAAGGAGACCCAGGGCTCCACCAGCGCCGCTCAGGGGGTCTCGCCTTCCCTGTCCGCCTGCAGGTGGTGGACGAGGGCCCGGGGACGGGGCCCTTCGCCCAGTTCTCCAACGTCCAGTCCGTCCTGATCACGGGCTACATCGACAGCTCCGACACCTCCGAGGGCATCATCACCTACTCCACCGACCTGTTCTACCGCTTCAACTGCCGCTACCCGCTGGAGTACCTGCTGGAGAACGTGCCGCTCATCACGTGAGTGCTCGCCGGCCACCCCGCCCGGCGTCCTGCCCCGGCCCTCCCCTCACCCTCACCGGCTCTCTCCCGCTCTCCCGCAGGTCCTCCATCTCGGCAGCGATCAACGGCAACAACGGCTCCTTCATCAGCACCCTGAGCTTGAAGATCTACAATGTGAGTGTTGACGCCCGAGGGTGCAGCCTGTGTCACAGCTGCTGCTGCTGCTGGCTTTAGACTTACAGAATGGTAAAGCTATATCACCCTTATCAGCCATACCACCCTGCAGCTCCCAGCTGGCCGCCCACTGGAGCTCAGCAGTGAGAGCCTGGCCAGTACCTGGATGGGAGACTCCTGGGAGAGCTGAGGCTGCTGGTGGGAGAGGTGTCAGTGGGGCCAGTAGGGGGCGCTCAACCTGCAGTCTGTTGACGGGGACACTATACTGTAAAAAGGCTCCTTCCGTTAGATGAGACGTAAAACCGAGGTCCTGACTCTCTGTGGTCATTAAAAATCCCAGGGTGTTTCTCGGAAAGAGTAGGGGTGTTACCCCGGCATCTTGGTCAAATTTCCCCCTGGCCTTTACCCATCATGGCCTTCTAATAACCCCCGTCTCTGAACTGGCCTCATCACTCTGCTCTCCTCCCCACTGAGAGCTGGTGTGTGGGGAGAGTACTGGAGCACCATCCAGGTGTAACTCACAGGTAGACGTGACTCTTGGCTTCACTGCCGCACACAGCTCTCTTCTGCCACTGTTCACATGTGCCACCACCGAGTCCTGCTGCCTTCACTGCCAGGGTCTCCCTTTCATGTCTTCACACCAGGACTCCACCTACACCTCTCAGCTGGTCGTCCCAGACACCGGCATTCAGCTGAGGACCAAAATCTACGTGGAAGTGGGCGCTAGAAACCTCACCGGCAAGTAAGAGATCCTCCTGATCTCAGCCCGGAACCCGGGCAGGGGTGTCTCTGACAGACAGCCTGTTGGCGAAAAAAACTTTGAACAATGGGTTTGAGGTGGTGAGGTCTTCTCGAACACCTGCCCTAGCCTGTAATTTTCATTCTTCTCTTTCCAGCTTCAATGTGCTGCTCGACCACTGTTTTGCCACTCCCTCGCCTTTCGGCACGACGACTGTGAAGCACACCTTCTTCATCGGGTAGGCCAGCGGGACTCGGGCACATGGGCGGGACAGCAGTCGTGGGAGAGGACACAGACGCGATACAGCTGACCCTTTAACTGTGGTCACTGGGCAGCTTCCAGTGCAACGTGTTCTCTTCCGTGTCTGATAGTGATCTCTTCCCACAGTTTACTTTCGCACAAGTTCAGTTTTACCATTCAAACTGTCTTTGCCTGCACAGAATACTGTTCATTTCCTAAAAGAAGTGTTATTTTCTAAAAAAAAAACGATAAATTCAGCTGCTTCAACTACAAGGATCATGCTTGCTAAACCAGGCCCGTTGAGCTCCGGCCCTGGAGGATTCTGGTGTTAGCAGTGGGATTGTGCGCCGCTGGGAAGTGATGGATTGCCGACAGTAGTGATAAACTCAGCGAAGCGGCGCAGACTTCGCCAGGCACGTCTCGCTGAGGCACCCCGCCTCCTCGTGGCAGGACTGCCCTGAACGGCCCGCGTGTTTTCCAGGTGCACCAAAGACGCCAGGACGACGATTCTGGCGAACGGCGTGGGTCAGAGCTCACGCTTCCTCTTCGACGCCTTCCGCTTCAGGGAGCAGCTGAACTCCACCGTGTACCTGCACTGCGTGACGCGTCTCTGCGAGCCCAGCACCTGCCAGCAGCTGCTCTCGGTGAGCCCCTCACGCCCCCTTCTCGCCCTCCTCTTCCTCCAGGCCCCTGGGGGCCACGCTCTCAGGCCCGTGTGGCCGCGTCTCCACCAGCTGCAGCAGCCCAGCCTCTGTATTCATGGGAAATTCCATTCCCAAAAAACTAATGCTTTGCAGCAGGACAGCATATCAAGCTGGGCAGCTCCACAATTGATCTGGAAATGCCCTTGAACAGTGTGCAGCCCGGACAGAAGCCTGATATTCTCGTCTATTACTGCTACTCCATCCTGTCACAGAAAAGCAGACGCTGATAGTAGAGAGGCTGATTAATAAAGCAGGAAGCTGCGTCAGCATGCGTAGGCTGGAGAGGTTTATTCCGTGGTGAAAAAAGAAGAAAAGAAACACAGTGTTTCGGCTGTGAGGCTTCTTCGGGTGTCGAAAAACCCAAAGAAGGCTCCACAGCCAAAACACTGTTTCTTTTTTTCTCTTTTCACCATGGAATAAACCTGTACTTGTTCCCGATTAATAAAGTGCTCAGTAAGGCCCACACAGGGGCGGTGTGGTGGTTCTGCGGCTCAGGATCTGCGCCTGTGGCTGGAAGGTTGCCAGTTCGTATCCCGCAGCCGACAGAGGAATCCTACTTTGTTGGGCCCCTGAGCAAGGCCCTGAACCCCAACTGCTCCAGGGGTGGCGTATAAATGGCTGACCCTGCGCTCTGACCCCAGGCTTCTCTCCCTGTCTGTGTGTCTCATGGAGAGCAAGCTGGGGTCTGCGAAAAGACAAATTCCTAATGCCAGAAATTGTAAATGGCCAATAAAGTGATTTTATTTCATCATTCAGTGTTTTCCTCAGGAGGCAGCGCTGTGCTGTGCTCTGCTGCCCCCTGCTGTCCTGTGGCTGTCGTGCTGTCGGTCAGGTGGTGAATGCAGCTCTGTCTCTCTCTCCCTCTGTCGCAGACCTGCAACAGTGGGAATGGGAGGAAGAGGAGGGCAGCTGAAGCGTTCGGGACCGAAACTCAAAACTCTGTCACAGTCTCCTCGGGCCCCCTCCAAGTCACGGACCGCGGTACGAGCTTCAGACCCTCGGAGTTTGGCCTTGGTGGAAGTTGGTTAAATACGACCATAGTATTCCTGCGAGAACTGTGTTTGCAGTTATTCCTGTTTTCTGCAATGTGCTTACGGGTTGGATCTATGAGACTATGTGCTTACAAAAGCTTTTGCACTGTTCTAACACTCCTGCAGAATCTGGTGTACTGTTTCTTCAACTCATCGAGGCCGGGCAGGTTGTTAAGCATGTTTTTGTGGCTGAAAAGGCAGCAGAGACATAGGAGCTGTAAACAGGGTTCAAGCTCCTTCAGCCTGTCAGTGGAG